ATCCCACACTTTAATCCCAACTCATTTCGAGCTAATATAAGACGAGACACCTCTTCAGCCGTCGTCGCGTTGTAGGCCACTTGAGATCCGCTCTTTCGACTGAAAAATGCCGGAAATTCTACACTTTGAGGGCTGTGTTGGTGGCCGTCAAACACGACAACACAGACTCCCTGTGTCTCCAGATATTGCAAAGTCTTCGGAATATCGAGAATCGATTTAACGCCGGAACAGATGACAGTGACTGGCGTTCGGCCCAATTCTGTCAGATCTGCGCTGATATCCATAGTGTGCTGAACGTCCCGATGGACGCCACCGATGCCTCCCGTCGTGAACACATCGATTCCGCACCGGTTGGCGATCAGAGATGTGGCGCTCACTGTTGTGCCGCCCGTCCCTCCCGTCGACATCACGACTGGCAGATCACAGCGCGATATCTTCGTCAGTCTTCCGCTCCCACTCTCTGCACGATAATTATCAGTCAATTAGTTCTGGTGTCCAAAACAATCACCAAAAATGATGCCATTTTAACGTCAACTCACAACTCATATGTTTTGTACGATTAAAGTTTATATTAGTTATTAATCATAAGAATAATGTCTAATCTTATTATATATGGTTTAATCAAATAAAGAGATTTTTGTATTGAAAGTCTTGACAATTTATATTCTGGGCTCACCTCATGTTTAATAGTTTATTGTATTTTGTGCTCAATTACCCTTTTCTGTATGCAATATAATTGAATTGAATGGTAATTCTGGTCAATAGAAAACAATGAGACCTTAAACTGTGCTTTAATGTTGAGTGAATACCTTGTGATAGTAATAACAATTGTTGTTTATTAAGGCCAACACATATTTGGCCCTCAATTACAGCAATAGTGGCCGGAATTGCACCTCTATTTCGGACTATTTTCTCCACATTCTGTGCCGTCCTATAAACCAATCAATTATTAAAACTGCAATAAATTTAATGCAAAGCTTTTCCAAAACTAACTGAAAATTAATAGGGAAAGGCATTCCATGCGTAATAATTGTGGACTCCAGGGCCACAATAGGCTTGTAGTCGACTATTGCAGACTTGATCTCATCACTCATTTTGATAATGGATTCTTTGAGATGAAGAATGTCTAAGAGATTGTATTCGAGATGAGAGTAAATGTCTTGAGTTTGTTGTGAACTTAATTGACTTACCATTGAATCGAGAGAGCGATCGCAATGTAAGCAAAGAATTTGAATTCTTTACTCTTAATAAACTCTATAATAAAAATGTTGGACTCGTTTCGGATTATTTTCCTCATAATCTTTTCGTATTATTTTTTTTATATTCAAATATAAACGTAAAATAAAAAGTTTTTATGACTTATATTTACCGCTAATAATCGATGCATTCTTAATGGGAAAAGTTATTTAAAACTCAAATCCTGTTATTAAAAGAAAATATATGTAATAATGAAAAACTAGAAATTTGTCGAAAATTAAATTTAGAAATAAAGTCTAAACTTTTCTTTATTTATAATGTTTTTCAATAAATTCAGTGATAAAAGTATTTTATGCCCGAAATGATTATTTTAGCGATTGTTCAGAGAGTAAGCACTTTATTGTCATGACTACATCCCTCTTATCTCTTTGCAATGACTTGTATTTGTATGTAGTTTTCAATACCATTCCTATCTTATTGTCTCTGTTAAGAGTAAACTTCAAAATCGATATAATCTTTCTTCAGTACTCATAAGATGTCATTTTAATTCATTTTATTTCATATTACGGTATAAACACCCAAATAGTGAGTCTTGTTGAGTGAAAAATTCAATTATATGTGAATTAAATATTTATATTTTAAGCAAAATTTCATTATTTTTAAGAAATTCTGATGTATTTTAGAGTTAATTCTCGACTCGAGCTCTCATACATTAAATATGTGAAGGAATTCATAATTTATTGTTCATAAAAGCAGTTTATAAGTTAATATATTTACACAGATGTCTATATCATTGGAAACAACTTTTTCTATTCCTTACACTTCAATGCAAGTCCTCTCTCTTGGCTATGAATTTCTCTTTAAGTTCATAATAAATGAATGAAAATAACATCAAATAACTTATATTTAG